TGAAATGACGTGTGGTGCGCTGCAAGCCTTCCCCGCTGATGTGTGGCGCACCCGCATTCCACCACTCCAGAATTGCTAGTGAACTTGAGGTCTTGCTTACTAAACGAACGCATATCGTTACTTTTGGTGTACGGACCGGAAGCGTAAATTCTTAGTTAAAGGTGCACCAACGCCGCGGGCTGCGCGTTAGATTAAGGATCATTCTGGGCTCCCTGTCTTCGTTGGTAACTTTTTGTCTACAATACCAGCCTTTGTGTGTGCGTTGTAGGGTTCGAGTGCGAGCCGCAGAGGCACTACGGGACGAGTATTTTTCATAACTTGACCAGTGAGTGCCCCTCTGCCATTGTTTATACATCCAGTTAAAACCAGCAGAATAACGAGCACGGCCGTGGTGCAATGATAGTGTCGAACTCAATAACCAAACGTCCTGAGTTCGAATCTCGGGGGTTACGACCCTCAAGTATGGGTATATATACATATAGTGACAGATAAGCGCACACCAATCAGTTGCAGGACACACTCGTCCCCCCAGATTGACCTCTGTTAATATCAACAAGGACCTTGGCTTCAATCTGCGTACTTAGTTTTACATGTTAAACGTCCGCCCATTCTCCGACGCATTTTTTTTTCTGAGCCACATTCAGTACCGTTTTTGACAGCCTTTCTTAGCCCCTATGTAGAGCTGACCTCTAAACAGAGTTTTTCGAGCATGCGCAGCAGGGGATACATTTGACGGAACTCCGCGTGGACCATCTCCTCTGCACTAGGCCAGTCATCGCCCCATATACCCAGTCCCGATATTTGAAAACGTAGTGGAAAAGCGATTTAGGCGTCCGTTTGTGTGTGTGTGTGTGCGTCGAATTCCTGTGCCTTACTATTATAGCCACTATTTCTCCGGTCCGAACAACGGTTGTAGGAGAGGGAACAGGCGTTTTTTTTTCTTGCCACAGCCACTACCAGGAGCGTTGTCGTGCGCCTCGATGAGTCACGGCTCTTTTTTCGGTGCGTCTATGTGCGTGTGGCTGCATTCGCACCACATGTCATGCGGGAATTTCGCCAGTAAAGCAGACGTCCTGCCAGCCACTATCTGGCAAGTTGCCAGACCTTTATGAGGGGAAATTAACTCCGCTCATTTTT